TATATAACAACAACAACAGATATCCCAAGGGAATTTAATGAAATCTCCAAAGCAGAGAGACATTCAATTAATTTTGTTCACATGCTCATTTTAGAGAACACAGAAAAGTATCAGAAAGTAAATAACAACCACCTGTAATCCAATCAGATTTTTGTTAATATTTGGTTGTATATTTATTTATTTATTTACCTTTATATATTTATTTAACAAATTGGTATCATACAATATAAAATTTTTTTAATCTCTTTTCATTTAATGCTATAAAGTATCACATATATAGTATATAAGCCAGTTGTCATGAAGTTGTCAGAGTAGAACTGCTCCATAGGGTTTTTAATGGCTGATTTTTCGGAAGCATATCAGAGGCTCTGGGGACCCTGTGGGAGGATGAGAACCTCCAACCTTTCTGTTATCAGCAGATCGTGTTAACCATTTGTACCACCCAGGGACTCTACATAATCTATACAGAAAATTATATAATGAGAATTATCCCTTCAATTAAAATATAGTCTTGAAAAACATAACTTTCAATGGCTGCATAATATTCTCTTTCAGGAAAACTATCCCATGATTTACCTATTACCTTACATTGGACATACAGATTCTTGGTAAGTATTCACTAAGTAACTGTGTAACAATAATTCTAATAAATAAATCTCTAGGTATGCTTCCTATTTTCTTAGAGTAAAAAAACAAACAAAAAAAATATAGCGACCCCTCCTTGGGGTTCCAAGGCGGTATTGCCACAGAAGTAGATTGCCCAGTCTTCCTTCCAAGGATTGAACCACCAGCCTTGGGGTTAGCAGTCAAATGCCTTAGGCACTATACCACCAGTGCTCCCTTTCCTTAGGGTAAATTCCTAAAAATAAAGTTACTGAATCAAAGGGCACAAACACATTTTGATATATAATGCCAAAGTCTTTCATCTCTGAACATTTTTACCCTAAACACAAAAATTAATATGAACCTTCACAAATCATATGAAAGCATCTCCACGAAGAGTCTATACCCAATCCAAACTACCCATCTAAAAAACAAATGTCACTGGAAAAAAGGGGATGGCATGTGCCCATAAGGGTACATCAAAGAAAATCTAAAACCACCAGTGGAAAAATGACTCAGAATGTATGCCACACTGGCAGTGGACTTACAGCATCATTTCACTATGAGGTCACTATATTTTCATCCAAAACACTGTCACCAAATTCTATTCTATGACTGAAATATAAGTTTATTGTGTGAGATTTGATTTGGAATAAGAGAGACTCCCAACGTGATTAAACTGCTTAAGACTGCCCTGTACTTTCCCAAAGCCATAATGTAGATTAATCTTAATGCTCAGTGTTAGGTACCATATCAAACTGACATGGTACCCCTTCTCTGTGCCAGTTATAAGAAACAATTTTCTTTATGACCCCAATATTTTGGCAAAATTACTATGCACTTGAAAAAGAAGGAATGCAAAGTAACAATTTTTATCAACCTCTGAAGAATTGCCTTTACATGATTTCTGCCCAACATCTGCCAAACATCTTTTCGATCAATAGTCCAACAGTGCCAAGTTTTTTGCTGTTTTAGTTTTATTTTAAGCACAAGTCAGTTCAGTCAAAGCAATTTAAGGAAAATTACTCTATTTAACACTAGTGCCGCAACATAATAAAATGCCTTTTAAAAATGATTTGTAATCTGCCGGAAAAGTACCCCATGACATGGATAAAATAAAAAATAAAACCAAATTACATATATATCCACTTGTCACAAAAGAAATTGCTATTTGAAAATTCAGCAACCAACCAATAAATTATTTCTTTCCACTATAAGACAGAAAAGATTTTGGTAAATTTGAATATATTGAAAGTTAGGGTAAATGGTTAGATAAGATTTAACTGACTGTGTAACTTACATACTTATTTGTACTCAAGTCTGATCAAGTGCAAATTGCCAAAGGTGTTTTAAGAAAATATTATATGGAGCAAAATTAGAGGTAAATCCTAGGAATTACTTTTTTTGTAAAATGATGTAAAAAAAATTATCTAATGCCCTATACATACAACTAGCCTTATAAATATGAGATTCCAGTAAGATCTCAACACCTAGTTTTTCTTTATAAGGACAACTTATATAAGAATACATATACTAGAAACCAGAAAGCCAGGTGTATTATCTCTCTTACACAGTCACCTAGCCAAAACTTCAAACTATTTTCCTCAAAGTTTTAAATGCTATCCAAAGCATAAGTACATGTCCTTCCCAAGCTTCTGAAAACTTCCAACCCTAAAAAGTTGCAAAATTTATCCTAAATCCTACTCTATTCATTATATGCAGTTGGAACTAAATAAGTGTTTCAGCATCATTGCGGCTTCAGAGGTGAGCATTAAACACTCTCAACAGGGCTAAAGTACACAATGATACAAGGAGTTCATTTAAAAGAAAACAGAGAAGAAAATCAAACCACTCTGACGACCTCTGAAATAAACTCTTTTGACGATTAGACTCACAAGTCAGTCCAATGGCCATGAGAAACTACAACAAAACACATTTTTCCTCTCTTGTATTATACATACATTTTATATGTGTGTGCTCTATTTACTGAAGTCCTTTGCCAAGGCTTTTAAATGTGTTTGAGAGGAAACCGCTGATCCACTGTGTGGGAAGGGAAAGGGCTCAATGTGGTGGTTATGTTTAATGTAGAGCACATTAACGGGACCCACCAAATACCATATTTCTTTTACTTGAGGCTTTCAGGGTTAGAGGAAAAAGAGGTTAGGAGTCTTCTCAAATGAAACAAAAATCAAAAAAAAAAAAAAGGAAACTGAGGCAAAATTATCTGGATAATCAGGACAATTATTTTCTTTTCCTTAATTTCTCATACATGTTTAACACCCCACATCTTGTACAACTTGAGTTCTGAATCCTGAGACTGTCCACATATTTTTAAAATAACAAGTGTTCTGCTAAACATACTGACAACTTTCTTAGAGCTACATGTCATTCCTACCTGAAAAGGAACACAGGGTAAGCAGGTGGCAGTGACTTTCTGAGGTTGCCTATGATTATTTTTGTATACAATCTCACACACATTAACAGTAAGGTCCCCAAGAACAGGGAAGGCAACACCTCAGTCCTGGAGGCAGCTGAGGAGGGTCCAGCAGAAAAACATGATTTTGTGTAATTTTATTAAGTGGGTTATGGTTTTAGAACACTCAAACCTCTTTTGCAGTCTACCAAAAGCAAAAAATAATCTGGTTTGCCCAATTAACTTTTTCCCAGCTACAAATTTTCTCAATTGGGTGAACAGAGAAACATGGTTTTATACAATATATTTTTACCCCTAGAAGTAAACAGATTGCCAGAAGTTTCTGAAGCAATGATCTCTCAGTGTGTTAAGTGGCTTAGTTAAATATAGCAACCCCTAAAAAAACCAAACTTGTCACCATTTTTAAAATTTGACTTAAATGATAGGGAAAGTAACTTAAATATCAAAGCAGCTAGTAAGATTCCCAAAAAAAGTGGAACTTGCAATTCAAGTCTCCACTTCTTTGAAAAAAAGACTTGGCTTGCTATATAAAACAAGCACAAGAACAACACTTTTCAAAATAATAGTTTATCATAAAATAGTCAATTTCCTCATTTGAGAAGGCAATTTTCATCTTAACACAATTCACCTAGGTTGCACTATCATATGACTTAAGAATAAAATGCTGTATTTATTTTGCATCATTTTACATGGTCTTAGTTGTCTCCTCTACCTTCCCCACTTAAATAGCTTCCATTTAACAAACAGAAAATACGCAGTTAGTTTACATGCATTAATGAATTCCCCCAAGTTTGGTTTCACTATCTTAATTTGTTTGCACACACACACACAGTATCTCAGTAACAATCTCAGTTTCGGAACTGCTTTGAATCGGCTCACCACTGTGTTTACCTTATATATTTGGATGCAATACATATAAGAATGCTATAGAGGTCAGATCTAGATACATACTTTCTGGCATTTGCACACCCTCTCAAGTTCCTATTGGAATGTTTAAGAACTCAACTATGTAAGATCTTAAAAAGCTAGAGAAAAATACTGCTCCTTGGAGTCCAGATACTGTACCTCCAGGAACGGAGTTATTTAACATGATACCACAAACATCCTACATACAAACTTCTGAAAAGTTTTGACTCCCTCTCTACATTTACTCGATATCGTGCATCCACCACGGGAACGCTTCGCAGCCGGAAATTTATATCCTTACTATGGACACATCACATAAAAATGTATGTTTAGAAATCAAAGTGCTACTATAATAAAATAGCCTCGACAGTCATTTGGTGATCTGTTAAGTTTTTATCCCTTTATTCTGTTCCCCACATATGCATCGCCCCTAAATTTGCAAAAGCTAATAGCCCAGGTTAGGGGTCTTTGACTCATCAGAGAAGAATGCAGTTGATGAATTAAGCTATTAAACCAAAGTGCCTACGCTCGAAAAGATATTCACCACGAACTTTTAACACTGAAAGGGTCGGGGCAAGGGACAGAGGTATCTTGAACGAGAACTTGTCCCCGTGTTTCTTAAAACACACACCACAACTACCAATCCTAGACGCAGGACTCAATCCTGACCCTCTGGGTCCCAATAATCTAAGGTCACTCAGAAGAAACATCTAGATTCCTCTTCTAAAATCCCGTGCAAACAAAGCTAATCATTATACTTACAAAAGTCTCCGAAAAGTTCTCAAACTTACGCAACTTTAGGCACGCAGACGAGCGTGGACACACAAAAACACACTGCAAAGACACTCTACCAGGGCCGAATTTTGGGTTTGTGTCTAGGAGCAAGGGCAATGCCCAAGCTTTCGACTACGGCGCCCCTCTCCCCAGGCACTGACCGTCGTCCGGGGACCAGAGCCCGCACCCCGCTGCCTTCTCCCTCCCGGCCGCCGGCACTTTGGAGAAAACCGGCGGCTCCCGTTCCAGGTCGCACACAACGCCGCACCAAGCCATTCAGTACCTCTTCCTCCTGAAGGTTGGCCTCGTTCGGGGTGTTCTCCTTCTCGGCTTTGCTGCCGTTGTTCATCTTCCCGGTCCTTTCTCCCCGGGCGGGGCTGGGGCGCGGGGCTGGGCGAGGGCGCGCTCGCCCACTCTTCCCTTCCCGGGGCACCGGGACTCCCTCGGGTGGGGCGCCGCGGGCAGCGGAGGCTGGAGCTGGGGCAGCGGTGGCTCAGGCTCCCGCGGCGCGGCGCGGCGAGACTGCGGCGGCTGGCGACTCAGGAAGTGCGAGGGAGAGACCGGGCAGGGCAAGGGCAAGGGCGGACTGAGAAGGGAACGGAGACAATTGGGACCGGGGAGAGAGACCTGGAGAAGGCGGGCGGCCGCCAGGGAAGAAAGAAAGGAAGAAAAGATGGGGCTAGAGAGTTGGGGATGGAGCCGAGTTGGGGCTGGGGGCTCCCGCTGCCCGAGTCTAGCAGATGCTGGAGCGGGGGGAGCGAGAGATGCCCAGAGAAGAGGAGTTGGTCCGGGGCGGCGGGGCAAGGTTCGGCTGCGGCTGGGACCAGGAGAGCCGCGAGTGCGCGCTCCAGGCAGGCTCTGGGAAGTACGGGATCGAAGCAGCTCTCTTTCTCTCGCCTTCCTCCCTCCCCTCTCTCCTCCTTTCTCCTCCTCCTCCCTCCGCCCTTCCTGGACGTGGGCTGCGGGCTCCAGCCCTGAGGGACAGGACGGGAACTACGAAGCCCCCCGCGGGAGGAGGGGCTGCGCCGAGGGCGGCTGCCCCACTGCCGGATGGCGCGCGCCGGGGAGGGGCGGTGGGCCGCGGACGGAAGCAGCCGACCCAAACTCCAGACTTCGCGGTGGGTCCGAAGGCTAAGGCAGAAGGGGGGAGGGAAGGTCAGGTCCCCGGGTTCACCGGGCTCAAGTGGGCCCCGGCGTCAGAGCGGGGCCTGAGTTGCGAACTCGCGTGTCCGTGCGTGCGAGCTTGGAGAGGGGCTTCGGGGAAACAGGCCCTGTGAGTGTGGAGAACGGGAACTGGAATGTGCTAGTGTTGCTTGCTTGCTTTCTACGAGGGATTTGCACCCCTATCCCTGAGTCTACCCTCTTTTTACTACTGGTTTAGACACTTTTCTTCTCCTTAGAGCCAGCAATTTGAAATGGCCTGATGACACCCACGGGCAGCTTGCTGCGAACCGGCATTTTTCAATGCGCAACCTCAAACCCACCTCGAACTCTCAGTCCACGGAAGAATCCTCTCCAGCCTTCCTGCACTGGCGGTTGCTCTGTGCTTCTCGTGGCCCTTGTTCATACCTCTCATAGCCCTTATCAGACTGTTCTAGAATTATTTGTTTACCTAGCCGTTTTCCTCACTCTTCCCAGAGATCTGTCCTAGAAGACAAAGACCATGCCCTGTTTATCTTTTAATCCCACGGCTGTGTAAATACACTACCTGGTATATAGTAGGCACTTAATACATATTTGTTGGCTAAGTGAATATTCCTTACTGTAAGCACAACTTGAGATCAATGCAGATGATCTTCAAAGGGCTTAGAGCACACAGAAAGAAAAAGAGGGCTCAGGCATTCTGGGAGGTGAGCCCTCACATTGTGGCTGCACCAACCTTGAAAGGACTGCGCGGCTTCTTTTTCCTCTTCGGTGAGACAGAAATACCTTTGACTGCTAACCAGAAGGCTGGTGGTTCAAACCCACCAGCCACTCCTTGGAAGGAAGATTGGGCAATCTACTTCCCTAGAGATACTCACTGCTGTGGAGTCAGTTCCAATTCATAGTGACCCCTCCTTGGGTTTCCGAGGAGGTATCTCTACGGAAGTAGATTGCCCAACCTTCCTTCCAAGGAGTGGCTGGTGGGTGAACCGCCAGCCTTCTGGTTAGCAGTCAAGTGCCTTAGGCACTATGCCACCAGAGCTTCCACTGTCTCTGTCTCGGAAACCCAAGGAGGGATCACTACCAGACGGATTGACTTGACTGCAGTGAGTTTGGTTTGGTTGCTTTTTTTTTTTTTTTTCCGCTTTTTATCTCCTTGGATAGTGCCAGTTGGAGCAGTTTATAGATTGATAGAGGTGTCCTTGAGTGGCACAAAAGGTTAGGCACTAGATTACCAGCCCAACGTTTGATGGTTGGAACCCACCCAGAGTTGCCAAGGAAGACTGACCTGCTTCCAAAAGGTCACAGCCTTGAAAGCCCAAAGAGCAGTTCCACTCGGACACACATGGGGTCACTATGAGTCCTACTCAAAAATAGCAACATAGATTAACAGAGGTACAGCACCTAGCACCCATTTTTGCTTAGTTTTAAGTTGACAATATATGGGGAAAAAAAAGCAAAGTCAGTGCCCTCCAGTCGATTTAACTCAGTGGACCCCACCTTGGGGTTTCCCATGCCGTGTCCCTAGGAAGTAGATGGCCCACTCTTTCTTCCCAGGAGTGGCTAGTGGATTTGAGCCACCAGCCTTCTGGTTAGCAGTCAAATGCCTTAGGCACTATACCCCCAGAGCTCCTAATATGTGGAAAGTAACATTATTATTTAGTATTAAGAAAAATCTCCTTTTTCCTGGACCATAGAGGGCTTCTCCAATACTGGATCGTTTAAGCTTTCACACATATAAAACTCCCTATCAGTAAGTTCTCCCCACTTCCCACTGCTAGGAATCCTTTCTCACAGAATTCTATTCCTTCATGGCACAAATCACAATTTCTAATTATTTGTTTATTTAACGTTATCTCTCCCCCAACCCACCAACTCAGATACTCTTTACCGTATTATACTAGTTTACTTGCTGTTGCAAGAGGTAGGGGTTGAAGATTAAACCTCTGTTTTTAGGGAGCTTAAAATGGTATTGTGGAGACAAGATACTCAAAACAACTCCACAGCAACATAATCACAGAATTCTGGTTTAAATTGTACGGAGCAATTTAATTTACTACTTGTAGAAAATACTTGCTTTAAGAGTACAGGCATACCTTGGAAATATTGCAGGTTTGATTCTAGACCAACACAACATAGTGAATATCGCAATAAAGAGAGTCACACAGATTTTTTTTTGTTTCCTAGTGCATATAAAAGTTATATTTACACTACACTGTGAGCTCTAGTGGCAGTAGTGCCTAAGGCAAGTTACTAATCAGAGAGTTGGCAGTTCAAACCCACCAACAGCTCTGTGGAAGGAAGATGGAGCAATCTCCTTCCTTAAAGATTTACTACCTTGGAAACCTCATCCGCTATGAGTCAGAATCAACTCAATGGCAGTGAATTGGATTTTTGGGTTTTTTTTTTTTTTTTTGGTAGTCTATTATTAAAGGAGCTCTGATGGTGTAATCAGTAAAGCGTTTCACTGCTAAACAGAAGGTTGACAGTTCAAACCTATCAGCTGTTCCCTGGAAGATGAGGCCGCTATTTCCCTAATGATTTACAGCTTTGGAAACCCAATGGGGGTCACTATCAGTTGGAATCAACTCCATGGAAAGGAGTTTAGTTTGTTGGGTTGTTTTAGTTTGTTTCTTTGTTTGTTTGTTTTTGGTGGTCTGTTAAGTGTGCAATAGAATTATGAGAAAGTTTGAGATAATGTGAGAATTACAAAATGTGACAGAGAGACATGGAGTGAGCACATTTTATTGGAAAAATGGCACCAATTGACTTGATGCAAGCAGGGTTGCCACAAACCTTCAATTTTTTTTTTTTTAATGCAAAATCTGCAAAGCGCAATAAAATGAATTTTGAAGAGAAATGCAGCAGTGATACTTGGACTTACATATTTGGCTTTACTTGGGGATCTTAAAGGTTTTGATAAAGAGAAGGTTTCCTGTAGGAAAAAAAAAATGTAATTTCTCTCTGGTAACAAAAGTGTTTCCTGGATGAAAATAAACCAAGCGTTTATTGAAACTGCAATTGAAGTCACCCAGAAGGGCAAGAGCTACAGTTATTCTTAAAATTTGGTAACCCTTGTCCTTTATTCGGGGAGCTTTGGTGGCGTAGTGCCTAAAGCAATTTGACTGCTAACCAGAAGGTTTGGTGGTTCAAACCCACCAGTCACTCCTCAGAAGGAAGGTTGGACAATCTACTTCCATAGTGATACCACCTTGGAAACCCTAGGAGGGGTCGCTATGAGTCAGATCTGACTATACAGCAGTGTGTTCCTGCGTGTCTTTATTTTGACATACTGATTTGTGTTAATTGGAAGCTCTTTACACTGCCAGCTTCTCTTTCAGTTATGGAGGTTAGAGGTAACCACAAGGGGGCAATGTTTTCCTGAGCAATGATTGAGTGGTGGTCTTGTGCCCCAAAGCTGGTCAGTAATTCCAGCACTTTGCCCTCGCTGGCCATTCCTGCCTGTTACTGAAGACACTACACAGAAAGGAGGTGTTTTTGGAACTGGCAAAGGCCCGTGAAAAATGACAGTTGATGTAGTCATTGATGGTTCCAGTGAGACCCCACTTGTGAGGAAGTGGAATATGTTGTGTTATTTCAGGATGCTAGGAGAACCTCCCCTCCCCCTGTGCAGGGAGATGTGGATTCTTTCCAAGAGTGGAATGTGATTCCTTTTTCTTTAAGCCAAGCCAGGACTTTTGTCTATTGTTAAAAGTCAAAAACCTCGAGGATAAAAAACAAGAATAAGTTTCATGAGAGAATCTTTGTTTGAATTGTTCACTGCTGTGTTTCAGTATCTAGACAGTGCCGAACACAGAATCCAAAAACAATCAAACCTGTTGCCATCAGGTGAATTCCTATTCACAGCAACCCTCTAGGACAGAGTGGAACTGCTCCATAGAGTTGCCAACCCTGTAATCTTTACGAAGGCAAGCTGCCACATCTTTCTTCCATGGAGCAGCTGGTAGGTTCCAACCATCAACTCTTCTGTTAGCAGCCAAGGGCTTAACCACTGTGCCACCAGTGCTCCTGAACATGTAGTTGTTGTTGTTGTTAGTTATTGCTGAGTTGGTTCCAACTCAGAACAACCTTGTGTACAGCACAACTAAAGCTGCCCAGTCCTGCGCCATCCTCACAATCGTTGCTATATTTGAGCCCATTGTTGAAGCCGCTATGTCGTTTGACCCTCTACTTTACCAAACATAATGTC